CCGCCCCGGCCCCGCAAAGGGCCACAGCCGAGAGACTTCCCAGCAGGATCCTCATTGGCCACCAGGGGGCGCTGCTTCCCCACCAGATGCATCCCGAAGTCCTTTTGCAGAGCGAGGGCGGGGCTCCCCTTCTCCCTCACACCTTCCAGCTCCAAGAGGGACCGAGTGCACTGGACACCATGCTGCCTGGAAGGTGCTCTTGCCCCAACCCCCATCTCCAACTTTCCTGTACCCCTGCCTGCCCCCGTTGACCCTGCCCAGCCAGCGTTTGTCCTGGGACCTTCCTCCCAGAGAAAGTCAGTGAGTTGGACACACAAACAGACAGGAGGGTGTAACTGAAGCCGCATTTATTATTTTTCAAAGACAAATTATTTTATGTGTTTTCTGACCATTTAAAAAGAAAGATGGTCCACGGTCACTGTGAAGACCTTCAGCCCCTACAGAAAATACAGAACATCACCCAGACCCTCTGGGCCCAGGAGGGGGACACGTTTGGGGTCGGGCCCTCCAGTCCCGTTTATTTTTGTAACAGAATCCCACAGAAAGTTCTCTTTTTGCCCAAATGAAGACATTCTCTATGTGCTACGTGACAAGAAAGCATTTTGCAACTACAGACTTGTTTTATAAAGTTGTCGTTCTTTTTGCTTTGTTAATTAATGGAATTTGGGGAATAATAAGAAGTGGAAAGGAGGAAAACTTCAACCGAAAGACACTTCGAGAGTTCTCTCCCTCCCTGGGACGCGTGTGGTTCCGGCCACATGGAGACCCCCACCCCTGTCCCCCCCAGACGGTGCCCTCAGGACTGAGCAACTCCCCCGGCTCCGTCTGGCTAAAGGCCGAGCCGTGGCCCAGGGAGGTCAGTGATGGCTCCGCCCCCGGGGGGGCCTGGCTTCGGGAACTGGGGCCGGAGGGGTCTTCTGTCCCTTTAGTGCTCCTGAGGCCCTTCCTGAAGGCCACCGGGGTGAGTTGGGGGACACTTTCAGCTCCAGGGGTTCAGCCCTACCCTCCTTGCCCCCGGGGGGAAATTACCACTGGGCTCGTTGTGGGGGGTGTGGGGGCAGGACAGAGGGGCATCCAGGCAGCTGACAGTGTGCGGGGCACGTGATGAACAGGCCGGTCCAGGCAGATGGGGTGTCGGGGCCTCACAGCCTGCTGCTGGGGGGGGGGCAGCCTGAGCCTCACCCGCTGGTCCTGGAAAGCACATGGCCCGAGGCAGAAAGGGCTCTCACAGGACTGGGCTCTACCCTGCGGGCCCTTCCCCAGCTGGGCGGCCCCCAGCAGGTCAAGGGCAGGACAGCTCACAGCCGGGTTGCAGAGAAGGTGGAGTGGTGCCCGCCTCCTGGGTCCTGGGAGGGACGGAGGGCGGCCGGAGCTGTGTGTGGGCCAGTCCTGAGCCGCAAGGCCAGCGGTGACAACTCTGTCATTCTGGGGCGGAGCTCCCTCTGTCCCAGACTGCCTGGTGCAGCCATCGGGTTCTGTCCTTGTATCTGTCCAGTGACTCAGGGAGCTTCCGGGGGGCGGGGTGAGGGTGGGACACAGTGTCCACCCCAGTCCCGACTTCGTCTCCGAAGCCTGAGCCAGATGGCAGATGGGCAGGCAGGGCCCCCTCTTAGGCAACACGCATCCCACTGGGCCCCAGGTGGGAGCTCAAGGTGTGGACGCACGATGGGGTGGCCCTGTCCCCAAGAGCCTCGTGTCCGGACCTCATGACCTAGTCACCCCGAAAGGTCCCACGTCCTGTGCCTTCTCACAGGGTGGGGTTAGGGCCTCAACACTGGGACTCCCTGCATGTGGTCGTTGGGGTCAGGGGAGAGGGGAGATCCAGGCTTGTGACAGGAGGAGCCAGCAGGACGCGGCCGGGGACTGGACTCGGCTGCGGAGTTGGTTTCTTCGCCCCCAGGGCGTCTTCGGTGAGGTCTGCCAGTCCTGGCAGACTGTGGAGCCCAGCTCTGCCTGCCGCTCAGGGCTGCAGGCCCACCCCCATGGGTTCCAGGCAGGAAAACCACCCTGGGGTCCAGGGACACCCTCTGCCTGGTGCCCTGGCTCCTCCCCCTTTCCAGCCACCATAAGCAAAAGAATGAGCTTCCTGGGGACCTATGTGTGTGCATTTGATGCCCCCCTCCGCCCCCAGCCCCAGGCACCAGGGCGGGACTTTGGGGAGAGATCCAACTCCCGGCACCATTTAGAGTCCAGACAAACAGGCTGCAGAGCTGGCACTGGACTGCCCTCCCCGGTGGGCATCAGGCCTGCTCGGCTCAGACCTGCCGGAGAGCCCGGGGCAGGCTCCTCTCCCGCCGCCGGTGACCTGAGGCCTGTGGACAGGCTGCCTGCCCGAGTTCCCCGGGAGTACGTCCCTTTGCACTAGTCGCCAGCACTTACTGACTGGGAGATTTCACTGCAAAATTCAGACTTCGGGCCTCTCCCGAATGTCACAGACGGGCAAGCTTCAGCACAGGGCCACCTGGTCACAGTGGGGGGGGGGACAGGCATGGTGCCCCTTTCTTCCTGAGGGCATGTCTGCTGTTACCCTGGGCCCCTCCCCAGGTCACACTGCTGTTTCCTAGAAGGAAGAGGACAATGAATGGGTTCTCTTGCTCCTTTCGTGTGAGTGTGCGTGTGTGTGTGTGTGTGTGTGTTTGAGATAACGGGTAAAAACCGGCCCAAGGAGCCTGGGCTGGAGGGAAGATGGGGACAGCTCGGTCTCTGGCGCATGTACCCACCGCATCTCCCTTCACGGTTCCACGTGGCACGGAACCCCCCTGCCTGCCGGAGACCTCGCCCGGCCCTGACAGGGCCCCTTCCTTCTACGGATGGAGAAACCGAGGCCCAGGCAGGGCAGGCGCGGCCTCGGGTCACCCAGTGGGGCAGCAGTGGGGCAGCAGTGGGCCAGGCCTCCTGGGACAGGTGTGTGAGACACTGGGGCCCCAGGAGCACCTCCTGTCTCAGCCCCAACGTCCCCCCCCCACCCCCACCTCCCAGGCAGGCTCGGCGGGGCAGCCAGCCAAGGTGCGCAGGTGGCCTGCGGCAGGGCTAATGGGCCAGCAGAGCTGGCCAGCAGGAGGAGAGGCGCTGCAGAGACAATTAAGGACATTTGGCAGCTTCAGGTGGGGAGCTGCGCCCTGGCTGGCCAGTGAGACCAGGGAGCCGCAGGAGACAGACGGAGAGTCCCCCACCTCCCTGCCAGCCCCACCCCCGCAGCCAGCAAGGCGGGCCAGGCCTGGCTTCCTCGTCAGCAGCTAGCTCATCCGGAGGCCTGCGGGCATCTGCTGGGGGGAAAGGGCCAACCCCTTGCAGGGCAGCCTTTCTGAGGACAGGGTTACTCTGATCCAAAACCTGGCCTCCGCTGTCCTCCAAGGGGTCTGAAACTCCACCCTGAGCGTCAGGCTGTGCAGGTGAGGGAGGGGTGTCCGGATGTGGCAAATCAGAGCAGAGAGGGGCTCCGGGGCCTGCAGACAGCCAAGAAGGAGGGGGCGTGGCTCTGCCAGGTTCGGCCTGGCTCCGGCTGCCACACTGAGCGGGAGTGGGGGACCCACGAGGCCTCTAGGAGAGCTCAGGACCAGAGATGCCACCTCGTGCCACCTGCCTGGCACAGCACCCATTTCTGTTCTAGTACCATTACCACCGTCATCATCACCATCACCATCATCACCACCGTCATCACCCCTCCTCCTCCTCCTCCTCCTCAAGGCATCCTAAGTTCTTGGCAAAGTCAAAGCAGGGAGGGAGGGAGGCGGAGAGCCAGCTCACGCCTCCATGTGCCTCAGCCCCTCGCCCCCCAGCCATGCACACGTGCAGCCGCCCCCCCCCCCAGCGGGCCTCCCAGTGTCACAGGTTTGGCCTCTGCAGTCTCTGAACCCTGGGCTGGCCCTGGCCCCTCCGCAGGCACGTCCACCTGCCAGCCAACCCAGGTGGGCGGCAGCCGGGCTTCTCACTGAGCCCCCTCCTGACGGTGCCCGGGACTGCAAGGTGCTCTGTCACACTATTAAAAGGGAAGTGGGAGAGAACAGGAGGGGATCGCCGGGGATCATGGCCCTGTGCCCAGGGTGGGGTCCGCTGAGGTGCAGAGAGGCTGCTGGACCTACCCAGCGTGCAGGGGGTGGGGGAGGGTGGTCCATAAAGCCCAGGCCAAGGACGTCAGGGTTTTCCGCCTCCACCGGATGTGATAAGTTGGGACAAGGGAGGGGTCTGCCGGTCATGCTGACAGGAGCAGGCAGGGCCACCCAGCCCTGAATGCCACACCCAGCGACCTCCCCAGGCCGCCAGGCCAGCGTCGAAGCTGAGCGTGTGAGGGAAAGGCTGGTCCCCGGGAGGTAGCGACGCCCACAACGGAGGATCAGGGACAGACGGCTAATGCTTTCCGGATCAGGACAGTCTGGGCCACGGCCCCACAAGGGGTCCCCTCTAGGTGGAGGACCAGCAGCTCTCCAGGCCAGCGTCCCAAGAAGGAGCCATTAGCTGTTGCTCCTGCAAAACTGCTGGCAACCCTCCGTCCCTCCTCACGAGGCCCCCCCCTCGGGGGCGGGGCAAGAAAGGGGTGAGCAGGGCTGGGCTAGGGAGTCAGCTGGGCAGGGGGCGGGGCAGGGGGCGGGGCAGAGCCGGCAGGAGCCGGACTGGGCTGGGCTGGGCAGGTGCTGGGAGGGCACCCCAAGGGAGTGGGGGGGGGCGGTGACTGAAGTGGGAAAGACGGGCTGAGCCCTAGCGCCCCTGATTGACTGTGTGGTCTCAGTCTGCTGCCCACCCTCTGTGCCTCAGACTCCGCCTCGACTCCCCCTGGAAGGAGAGGCCAGGGGAGGTCCTGGGGTGCCTCTTCGGGAGGGTCTTTCTGGCGTTTCTTTCTCACCGTGACCCCTAAGCAAACCTGCCCGAGGGAGGGGGGCGTCTCCGGGGTCAGGTAACAGGATCAGGAAGAGCACGGGGGCGGGGTGGGGTGAGGGGGCGGGCATCAGGGGACCAACTGCTGCGTCCGGGGGCGGAGGCAGCTGTAGAGCCGGTCCAGCTGGTGGTGGCTGGAGCGGACGCTGCAGGCTCCGGAGAAGCGCACAGGGCAATTTCAAGTCCCGGTGGGACGCCGTCTCCCCCACTCCCCTGGGACCCACGGTCCCCTGCACCCCACTCAGTGCACAGCCCCCGCAACGCCTGCGCTCGACGACCCCTTTGCGCCCCCACAGCCAGCTCCGAGCCGCACGATCCCCCAGGAAGAGCCTGCGCCGGGGCTGCCTGTCGGCCCGGCATTGGCTGAGCTGCCCTCGGCTCACAGCCCACCCTGGCGGCGGAGCTGAGCCCGCACTCGGAGGCTCTGCGGGGACCAGCCGGGAGGAGGGAGCCCAGCCCGCGCCCTCATGCCCTGCTGCACGGTGAGTGCCAACCGCCCGGAGAGGGGTTCGCCGGGCCCCCGGGGGGAAGGGCCACACTGCCGCCTCGGTGGTGGGCGCGGTGGACCCTGGACCTGAGCGTCCGGAACCCTGTGGGGAGGGACGGGGGAGCGGCAGGGGCTGGAGCGGCGTTTTCGGTTGACTTCTTTCGAGTTCCTGGGGCTGGCGCGCGTGCCCCCGGCTGGGTCCGCCTGCTGGGCCCGGCGGGCAGCGGGCGGGGCGCCAGGGCTGCATTCGGAGCCCCCGGAGCCTGCTGCATTGCACCCGAAGCCGGCCCGCGTCCCTCGTCCCTCCGCCTGGGTGGCCCGCAGCGCCACCTGGAGGGGACCGCTGAGCCCCTCCGGGTGGGGAGGCCAGATGGGGCGAGAGCTTTAGGACCTTTAAGCAGACGGTTGTCCCTTTCCGGGTCTGAAGCACTTTCTCAGCTTCACCTGCCTGGACGTCGGCTTTCTTCTGCCCACAGCACTTTTTCCTAAAAAAAAAAAAAAAAGCAGACTTGAAAAGGGCCGTGTATAATTTCTGGCAGAACGGCGTTGGCAGAATGGAGGACAAAGCCGAGAGGTCTCCGGGCAGGGGTGGCCAGAGCTCTGGTCGCAGCCTGCCTCCCCAGCCCGGAGGGAAGGCCCCCAGGGCCTGAGATCTTGGGGGGAGCCCGCCCTCCGCCTGGGGTCCGGGCGGGTTCCTGACACGGTGCAGGGGCAGCATCAGCTCTTCCGGCTGAAGGCTCTGGGGAAGGACCCCGGGCCAGCCGGCACCCGGGCTGTAGAGACCGCCCGCAGGGCGCTGAGGGGCAGCCTGGCGCGAGCTTAAGCCTCCAGCCCCGCCTTTTGTCGGTGGGGGGAGCTGCGGGTCCCGGCAGGTGCTGGGGAGGGAGGGAGTGCAGGCGCAGGTCCGCGCGGTGTCTTTGGGTGAATTCCTCACTTTTCTGAGATTGTGCCTCTTCCTACAACAAAGGGAATTTAAGAGCCCCCAGGGTTGTGACTGATAAATAGGAGGGTAGATGAGCTGGTGCCGGCAGAGAAGGTCCGTCCCCCCACCCCAGGGACAAGCTGGTTCAGGGACACAGGCGAGAGAGGCTCAGGGGGCAGCAGCGGCCAGCCCAGGACCCTGTACTGACTGGCCTGCAGGTCACACTGAGAAAGGTCGTGTTCAGGGCCTGGTGTCACCTCCCCCGTCCTTCCGTCCTTCCTCAGCTACACTCAGGGCAAGTGCCTGCGGCGTCTCCCTGCCTCAGTTTCCCCGTCTTCGAGGTGGGATGGTGATACCAGTAACCACGCCCACCTCCCTGGTTCCCTGAGAATTAAATGAGCCCTGGCTTGTCAGGACAGGAGGCTGCAAGTGTGTTGGCTGCTGTCATGTGAAATGTAATAGAACGTGTATTCGTCCTGACGTTGTGTTTGCTACTCCTCTTTGAGAGGCAACAAATTTGAGTCTCAGAGAAGTAGGCGGCTCTTGAAAGGCTGGCTGGCACACGAAGGGGCTCCCACAGGCCAGGTAGGGAGAGGCCCCGGGCTCTGGGTGCGTGGCAGCACCGCACCCAGTCAAGGGCTCTGCAGACACAGCCACGGTGGGCTCTGCGGGTGCCTGGCACCCACCCCGCTCGGCCCCCAAGGCAGCTGGACCCACAGGGTGGGCCCCACCGGGCTCCACAGCAGCCAGCCCTGGGTCTGAGCCCCCCCACCCCACCCAGCAGGGAGGCGCCCAGCCCTTTCCATGGCAGCCTGGCCATGGCAGGGGACATTGGCTCTGCCCGGCACCCCGTTGGCCCAGCAGGAGCCCTGGGTTGGGCTGTACCCTCCCAGGGGACAATGTCTGCTGGTCTGGAGGCTGCGTCCCACGGCTGCCCCTCAGGGGACCCGGCTCCGGTTCCTCGACATCCCGCTGGCTCCTTGCTCCTCCACTTGGCTGGCTGGAGGAGGTGAGACAGGAATACTAATTGGGCCGAGAGAAATGTCAAACCCCAGCCCTTCTCCTGTAGCCAGGAAAGGAGGGGGTGAGCCACTCAGGAGGATGGTCACTGGGGCCCTGCCGCACCCGCTGCAGCCCCAGGTGCCGGCCACCCCCGGAGGGGGATCCCCAGAGCCACCAGAGCCCCTTGCACAGCCGGGTCGAAGCCTCTGTCCCGTGAGGTTAGCCAGGCTCTCTTCTCCTGAAGGGAGCCGTGGAGCCAGGGTGGGGCGGGGGCCAGGAGCAGCAGGAGCCCGGACAAAGCTGTGAGCGTGTACTTTGCATGCTTTGGTGGGGAGCAGGGCTTATGGGGGTGGCAGAATGAGGGGGGCCGAGCGCCCGCCTCCCTTCCTAAGGAGCCTCCACAGCCCTGGAGCCCTGGGCCTGGACGCCTGCCTGCCACGGTGCACGCCCCTCTCTTCCCCCAGCTCCGGGCGTGCCGTCCGCCCCCAGACCCGCCTGCCTCTCGGGTCCCCCACACGTATGTAGCAGCGCTCACACTGGTTCCTGCCTCCTCCTCGCACTCCCCGGGGTGAGACTGGGGCGGGGCCGAGGACATCCCAGGTGCTGTGGGCTGGAGATGCCTGCACAGTGCCCAGCGCCAGAGTGACCCAGGATGTGTGCCGCGGCTCTCCCAAGCTTCAGCCGCAGCTGGCAAGTGCCACACCTGAGCCGGCTGGCTGGGTCAGCAGCCAGCACGACCCGGACGGCAGTCCTTGGCTGCCCGGCGCATGCCGATCTGCCAGACCCCTGTCCACCCACCCTGGGCACCGGGAGGGGCTTCCTCCTCACACCCATCTCCAGACCCTCGTGTGGCTGCCAGGCCAGGGGCTGCTTGTCAACCCCTCTTCCTGAGCTCCGGTCGCCCTTGAGCCACGGAGCCTAGAGACAGGCCCAGCTGTCAGGCTGCCCAGGTGTGGGAGCAGCGTGGGGGGATGGGGGCTCTCGACTCCCTCTCTGAGTGGGCCTGAGCGCCAGCCGCCCCGTGCCCTGGTCAGGGAGGCCACAACCACAGAACTCAGAGCCCCCGTCGCCGGCACCCAGCCACCAGCTGTAGCCACAGTGCTGGTCTAGCCGTCCTTGTCAGGTGTGGGAAGGAGAAGCCAGGTCGTGCAGCTCCTGGCACAGATGGGGCCTGTCAGCTGCTTGACATCACAGCTCGCCCCACGCCCTTGGCAAGGCCGGCCTCCCTTCTCCTCCATGTCCGCCGTGTCCTCCCTTCTCCTCTGTGTCCTCCGTGTCCTCCTGCGCAGGCACTTCTCTGCCTTTCAGGTGCTCTGCGGTGTCCAGAGGGCACAGGACAAGGAGGGGCGGCCCCCTCAGAGGGATTGGAGAAGGCTCCCCGTCCCGAAGTCCCCTGACTGAGCTTGTGCACAAGGGCAGGGCCCACCGCTTCACCAGGAGCCCCCCCCCCCCCCCCCGTACCGGGCCGGAGGCCTGGGCTTCCTGTGGGTGTTGCCACTAAGCATGGTGAGGAACCAACTTGGCGCCCACACCACCAAACATTCGGGAAGGGGGACTGGAGACCCCAGGCGCCACCCCAGCCAGGACGCCAGCCCAGAGGACCGGATGGAGAGGAAGCTGCCGGGAGCCCCCCCCCCCCCCCCCCCCCCGCCCCAGTGGAGGAGAGGGAGAGATCCTCTACGCGCCCACCCCCCAGCCCCCTTCCTCTCCCCACCTGAGACATCCGGAAGGTCCCCCGTTGGTTTGGCCAATTACCGCCCGGCCTCAGCGCCCCTGCGGACGCCTGCTGTCCACCTGTCACCACTCGGGAGCCCCTACCCCCTGACCCTGCTCAGGGCCTCAGGGCCTCGGTCTTCCGCCTGGACGTGGGTGTGTCTGAGTTTCCCGGGGTTGCTCTAACCAAGCCCCACAGGCTCCCTCTGAGGCCATTGGGGAGAAGGCAGTCCAGGCCCTGTCCCTGCATCCAGTGGGGCGTCTGCCACCTTTGTTGTTCCTTGGTGTGTGGCAGCATCACCGTGGCTCTGGCCTTCTGGCAGGTGCCAGCCGGGCTGCTCTTGCCCCAGGGGATGGGATGCGGTTTTCCTGCTTACTCCCCATTACTCCCCAGAGCAACGTCCTCTCTGCCCAGCAGGGGTCACTGTGGGGCAGGGGTTTGCAGAAGGCCAGGAGAGTTTACCAATGCAGGGAACCCCTGGGGTCAGAGGAGCCCCCGGGGAGAAGCCCTTGGGGACACAGCTGAGGCCGCAGCTGTGGCCAGCTAGGCAGCCAGTGCCAGAGGCCACTTATGTCCACAGCGTGACCCCCCGGGGACAGGGAGCTGGGCAACTCTGTGAGTGGACAAACCGATGTGGGCGCCATGAGGGAGCAGGGCCGCCCGGCACAGGAGCCCACCGGTCCCGACCAGCAGGGCTAACGCAGTGCCCGGAGCCAGGCCGGGCCCTGCCACTCACAGGCCACCTGTCCTCGGCCCCTACACCCCTGCCCAGGACGCTGTTGAGAAAGCCTCCGTCTTACAGACCCAAGGGCTCCGAAATGTTTCGCAACCTGCAGGCTCATTACTGGGCTGGAGCCTCGGGTGGATCGTCAGTGACCTTGGAGGGAGGGCGGGTCGTCAGACACCCTTTGGTACCAAGATGGTTCATGTGTCACTTGCCTGTAGGAGTGAAGCTTCTTAGTGAATGACTGGGGATCAGCTCCGGCGACCGGGGACCGCTCACACTGCACATGGATGAGGGGGCGCCCCTGTGGCCCGTGCACAAGGGCAGGGTGCAGAGCCGTGGGTATCCAGGGGCCAGTAGCATGATCAGAGAACCTCGTCCGGGATTTCGGGGGGCTCTCTAAGGAAGGGGTGCACTCTGCAAGAAAGCCCTGGTGGACCAGCACAAGCCCTGTTGAAAGAGGAGGGTCCACCTTGAACCTGGCCCCCAAGGGCCAGGGAGCGCCTGCAGACCTGCCAGGTGGGCCGCCCTGGTTCTGCCCCAAGCATTCCCTGTGCCCCTGTCTTGGAGGGTGGGGGGCACCCTGGGCCAGGGAGCTGGAGACCGGGGGTCAGGGAGGGCCCTTATCCACAT